AAACTGTAATAATTTATGTCATATTAAATTTATTAAGATTAAAATTACTACAATTCCATTTGTTTTTAAATTTTGATTATTCAATTTATTTATTATTTTTTTTTTTATTTTTCTTTTACTTAAATTTCAACCATAAACTATAATTGAAATTATTTTTTATATTATGTATTACGTATATTGCATGAGCGGGTGATCGTGGTTATTGGAAATAAAAGAATTAGCTAGTTTATATATAAGTTCTACACTTAAGAGATAAATTATGTGAAATCAGTTTTATATAAAAATTTTCTAAAATCTGAATGTCAAAAATGAACTTCAAAGTGATTTTACTGGGACCCCTAAGTTTTTCTGCTAGTAAAACAGTTGTCAAACATGATGAATTGTCTCTCGTGACAAACGAATTATCAGTAACTCTGTGATTAAATCTTCAAAGTCATGATTCAAATTGAATGAATGTCTTTCAGAAAGGTAAACGTCACAAGAATAGTTTCAAAATTGTATTTAATATTATTTAAACTGATGTTTCTCCATTTTAAATATATATATATACTTAGGTGTAGATAATTCTCTTACTCTTTGGCTAACACTGTACAACTCAAAACCACATCCTAGGTTTTCAACGAATATTGGTAAAAGTTCTGGAATTGACACAATTGGCAAAAGATTTGTTTTAAATAAATGGTACCATATAGAATACACACTCTTGGATCTTCATAAGCGTTTGGATTTCTACATAGATGGAAAATGGTTTGGATTCAAGAGCATAGAACAAGTTCAAAAGGAATACATTGTGTTCAACAAAGACTCGTTGAGAATAGGACTTATCTTTTGTGACACTGAGTTTAAAGGGCAAATGAGGTATGATTTATTATTACCATTATTATCAATTAAGTTGTTGCAATAAAATACATTGGACAATAAATAATCACTTTTTATTAGCAATTTTTGTTATTATAATTGGCATTTATCAGCTGATGAAATTGCGAAAGATTTTGTAAATAAATTTCAGAAATCTGTATTTTCTTATCATTGTTTTTTTTTTCTTTATTTAATCATTAATCATAATATAATTTTAAATTTTAGATTGCGACATATGAAACATACCAATGAGACAATATGATACATATTGTCTTAATACAAAAATCATTATTACTATAAATGAACAAATCTAAAATTTTTTTAAACAATAATCTTATACTCTTTATAAACAAAAAAAAATAATTCAAAAAAAAAAAGAATCATTGGTTCAAAATAAAAATGTTTGATTAAAAAAAAAAATAATAATAATTTTTGTAAGATGATAATAAATTATTTATATAAATGGATTCTTTTCAAAAATTTATTTTTTGTTTAAAAAAATATCTTGTTAATTTAAGTACAATTTGTTATATCTAAATTTCTAAAATCTGAATGTCAAAGATGAACTTCAAAATGATTTTTTCGGGCCCCCTTTAGTTTTCCTGCTAGTAAAATTATGGTGTCTTTCTCTGAATTAGAAGTGAATAAAAATCAAATTCTTTTGTGTCTGTTTTTCATATTCAGGTAATCCACATTTACATCTTGTTTTCTATCTCTTAGCTCAAACTCGATTGCACTTAATCTAGTATAAATGCAAAGATTATATGCCTTAGTGTTGGTTAACCCTTGTTACTTTCTATTTTGAGTATTATGTGGATTTAAAAAATTATGTTACGCAAAAACGAAAAAAATGCGTAACATGCACACGTATGGCAGATCATGGTCATGTTATTTGATTTAATATATTTGTACGCGTATTTGATACTTGACGGTATATTCCATCAGATAATAGTAGAAACAATAATTTATTTATTGTTATTAAAAGGAAATTTGAGAGAGTATTATATATGAGTCCAAATCAGATATCATTAGATAATTTAAAGGTCAGATAAATTATCCGTAATATTTGGATAAACTATTAAGATGCTGATCTTCGATCGACTTAAAGAAACGGAAAAGATCCAAGCCGATGCAAGTATTATACCAAATTTTATAGAGTTTCAACATGTATCTAATTATTTTTTTTATGAAACAAATTAATTTGATTAATAATAGAGTTATAAATCGCAATGGGAAAACATTATATAAAGGGGTCAAGGAAGAAAAAGGTGAAAATTAATAAAAATCGATAAAAACCAACTGAAAAATCAAAATGAAATTCAAACTTTTCTTACTCTTCTTAACTATCTTTGTCGTTAATACTTTCGCATATCCTCATGATCTAGATCATGATCTGGTGAAACGTCAAAATCCAAACTGCAATCCCCAAGCTTGCTGTAATCCCGGTGACGAGACATGCTTTAAGGAATGTAATTTGCCTAGCTGCTCTTGTAATCCCAATTCTTGCTGTATTCCCGGTGATGAGGCATGCCGTAAGGAATGTAAATTGCGTGAATGCAAACCGGGAGAAAATCCTTAGTCAGCTAATACCATTATTTGCCTGTTTCAGGCGTTTATAGTTAAGAAATATATTTAAAAAAAAAAAACAAATGTTAATTAAATTATAGTACCTTATATAAAATCGTTCAAATTAAATAATTAGACAAAAATTTTTTTAGTTATAGATAGTTTTAGGCACAAACTCGCCAGATAAGGCAGTGTCATTCTTTATTTTCTTTATTTTTATGTATTTTTGCTATAAACATATTCAATAAAATTGTTCCTTTATTATTACATCTACAAATCTTCGTAAACTCAAACTGTCTGTTATGGACAGAGTATTAAAGTTTTTTTTATAAATCTATTATTTTTTTCTAAAGGTCATTCTAAGCTATCATCGTTTGGGAAGGTTAAATTTTGTGGACGCTGGAGTCTGCGTTTTTTATTTTCCAAACTTGCTGGCTGTCACCAGTTCCGTCACCAGTTAAATTTTTTCTAATGACAATTGGTGACACTTTCCTTGAGAGTTTTATCCCATTTTAGGTAACTGTCAACTAGGTCACTAGTAAAATGAGTAAAAAGACAACTAGTGGCCTAGAAATGATTTTTCACGCTTAGATCCGTATCTGAACCAATTTATCTCATTTATGATTAATGCATAAATTCAAATACTCCGGAGTTTAATTTTGAGATTGGTTCTTTTTATAGCTGCAATTGAATTTTCTGAAATTGTTTGCATTCCCTGATATCGAGTTTCTGAAGATTATGATATGAATTTATAATAGTATTAATAGATATATCGTTAATATTGCACTCCTTAAGATTAAGCTCTTTTAAATTGAGACACAATTGTACTAATATACAAATAAACTCATCAGATATATTATTCCGTAAAGATATTGGAGTTTAGGATATGATTCTGCAATTTTTTACACAGATGAATCCGTAATTCTAAAAAGACTATTATCAAATTCACATCATTCACCCTCCCCCCCCCAAAAAAAAGAAAAGCTAAGCAAATTGGAATATGAGCTTGCAATTTTTTAATATTCCATTACCAGGCAAATAGAGATGTTGAAATTTTGAACAGGAATGGGCAATCTTTAGCAATTTATCTGTAAGTAAATTACAATAACCTATATAAAGATACATTAAATTTGGACATATGTCCAAATTTATATAGTACAGTGTTGGTAAATGACCTCAAATGACCTTGAAATGACCTATCACATGATGATTTTACTTTACCAAATGACCTTGAATCTAACAAACAGTTTTATCTCCAATATAAAGACTAATAGAATTTTTCCAATAATGTTACTAGAAAAATCATTATAACAATAGGCAATAACTAAATATTTGCAAGTTTTCTAATTTGATATAAGGTTCCATCAGATATTTCGCAACCAGAAATACCGTATTTGATTAATTTTGAAGTGGGAAAAAGGATTTTGTGTGTGTGTTCCTTTCTTGAATTTTTTTCTTCACTATCATAAATTCAATCTTTTTCCATAATATGGAGATGAACATGTATACCATGATTGGTTAATGAATAAGGTTGGATATAATGCTTTATCTATAGCAAGGTATGCAAAAAAATTTTGATTAATATTTCAAGTGAATATAATTTTCTATAATTATTCTTTACATAATATTTAATAATTTGTAACATCCAGCTGTTAATGAACAAGCAAAATTGAAATTAAAAATTTAAACCCTTAATCATGCAGTAACAGATATATCCTACATTAGAGTATATTTCTATACTAATAGTCACCTTCTATCATATACTTTTTTCATGGTCTAAAAACTTTTAACCCTGTTTTTCCAACAGGTATTTATGCAAAGGCATGAAGTTCTGTTTTCAATATCACCCATCTACAGCTAATATTTGTCAATTAAATATGACTAATGAGAGAGATTTTTAAAGATTTTATTATTGACAAGTTTTAATAAATAAATAAATTTTTGTGTTTTATAAAATTTATAAGAAAAAATATTTTTTATTATAATGATAAATGGGACTAAGCCAATTGTCACTAATATGTACTGCCATCTTTATTAATAACCTGTATATAACAATAAGTTTAAAATAAATAAAAAAACTATAAAAATCAACTAGTGTTAACCAAATATACCAAACCTGTTTACATGTTTTTTCTTTAAACAAGTGTCACACATAATGCCTATCAGAAATTTTAAGAGCAAAGTATGTTGTTGAAAGTTTTCAAAAGTTCTCTAAAGATTTTTGAAATATTTTTATCTCAACTGTGTAAATATTTCTATAGATTAGATCAGATCAATTTTACAATAACTATTTAAGAAAATTTCATGTAACTATATTTTTTTATCTGTGTTATTTAATAAATAATTTTAATAGTAAAATCGAATATAGATATAGTTAACAAAAAAAAAAACCCCCCTCCCCATTTTATGTTATCAGGAAATTTTTATAAGGCGAAATCTAACATTTATTTCATTTATTTAATATATTTCGGGGGGGCTCATTGTAATTAATAATAATAATAATGTTTGCATTTATTTAATAACCAGTTAATATTTTTATACTAACTATTCTAATTAAATAAAATAACTAATTTAGAAAATTGGTACATCATTACTTTTCTATTATGTTTTCACATTTTTTTAGTTGCCCAAATTGTCTTTATGAGCTGAGCCAGTAACGCATGTATGATAGTGTCACGTGTGAGAGAACAATATATTGATTTTTTAAATTAATTGTGGGCCTCTGTTAGTAACCCTTTATTTTTCTAGGTCGATTTGGTAGATCCCAAACGATTATTTTTAGTTTTTTCCAAAGTACAACGCCTGACTTTCTAAACTTGGTCCATAACCATTTTCTCTATCTATCCCATAATTTTATACAGAAAATTTCACATATTTCTTATCTCTTGATATCAATATCCAAACATTGCAAGAGGAAATTTTTAAATGGCGGACCATCATCCCGAAATGAATGGAAATAGTTCACCTCAGGAAGAAACTCCTAAATATCTGAACGGAATTAACAACAAAGAAATCTCAATAGTAGAAAGTAATAATTATGAATATGACCACCATAGAGTTTCTCCACATTATAACCAATACTTTGAAAATTATGGTCCAAATCACGTTTATATGCCGTCTAATGACGTTATTGACCGCTCAATAAACGATCGCGAAGAAGTCATAGAAGAAAGTCCTAACTTAAGATATGGCAGAGTAAGCAAGCTCTACTGATTTATAAGATTCCCAAAAAATAATCTAAATTTTCATTTTTTATTATTATTTATTTTTCATTTAATTTGAATTTTTAGTTAAATACTATTTTGGGTAAAGGCGCTTATAAAGTTGTATATAAAGCTATAGATCGTGAAGAAGGTTATGAAGTCGCGTGGAACTGCTTTCAAGTAAAGACGCGCCCCTTTTTAAAAGAATTTTTTAATTAAAATCTTATATAATCTCATAAAATAGTTATTAATTTATTATATATTTATTATGTGTAGACAACTAAAGCCGAATTCAATGACTTAAGTCAAGAAATAAAAATCTTGAAACAAGTTCGGCACCCAAATATTATCAATTTTCACGATTGTTGGTACAAAGATCAAGAGTTTATTTTTGTCACGGAATTGATGACATCCGGAACTTTGCGGGAGTGAGTTGATAATGTTCTTTCTACAAACAATAAAAAAAAACTTTTATATTCAATTATTCAAAAAAAAAAGAAAAAAAGAACAAATATTTTTTGGAAAAAATTAATTTTAAAATATTTAAAATATTATTGGAAAAAAGAATAATTTTAAAATATTTATATTATTATTTTTTTTTTTTTTAGATACATTCGAAAACTTTCATTACCAAATATGAAAATAGTAAAACGATGGTCACGCCAAATACTTAAAGGACTTTTACATCTTCATTCTCATAATCCTCCAATTATTCACCGTGATATCAAGTGCGATAATATCTTTATTAATGGTGCCCATGGTGAAGTAAAAATCGGTGACATGGGAACAGCCAAGATGAAGTTGGGAAAAAAGTATACCGTCATCGGTATGCAGTAAAATAATCCCAGCTGGGTTTGCTATCATGATTTTACAATTAGTGATACCACTATCTAGTTCACCCGGCGATCTAAATGATTATTGCGAACTTTTTGTTCGCAATTTTATAAACACATTTAGGAACTCCCGAATTTATGGCACCTGAAATGTACGAAGAAAAAGGTTATAACGAAAAGGTCGATATCTATGCGTTTGGAATGTGTCTTCTTGAAATGGTAACTGGCGAATATCCATATATTGAATGTAAGAATGCTGCTCAAATATATAAAAAAGTCACATCGGTAACTATTCGAAAAAATTTATCAAAATAATTTTGATCTATTATTGAAATTTTTTGATTCTAATCTAAAACTTATCCATTTGTTTAATGAATTAATTTTCAATGAATCAATGAATCAATGAATCACAGGGAACAAAACCAGAGAGTTTAAAAAAGGTCACAGATCAAGAAATTCTGGATTTAATAGGCCACTGTTTAGATACTGAAAATGAAAGGTCAGTAAATTTAATAATTTAACGAAAATAATTTAATAAAGTTTTCTTTTTTTCTATTGGGTAACCACTCAATTGTGTGATTAACAATAGTTATTATACATTTTTTATGTAAAAAAGATACACCGCTCAACAAATCATGGATCATCCTTTTCTTACTGTGGAACCTGAGGTGGTATTAATCACAGCTGATGATGCCAAAACCCAACTCACCTTACAAGTTGTCTTTAAAGGAATGGACAAATTATCTGTTAAATTTCAATTTAATGTAGAAAGGGATACTGCTGAGGAAGTTGTAAATGAGATGGTATTTAATCATCTTTATAATTTTTTATATCTTTATATCTTTACCAAATTTCTTGAATTTCAAAATTAATGAATACTATATTTTTCTTATATAGATCGAAGAGCAAGTTTTGCCTGACAAGTATCAGCAGCTCATCACCCATGAGATAAATCGTATCTTACGAGATATCAATAAACAATCCATCGAAGATGATAAAAAAGAAGAACACAAGATACCATGGCCGACAGCACCCGATACGCCGCCATACCATATAGCATTATCACCACATTTGGGACCTGCTAAGTCATCTCATATATCTACTCCTTCTGCTCCTTCTTCGATAAATCTGGAGCGAGAGAGTCCAGGGAATACGTTATCATCCCACCCAACGGAACAATCACCACGAAAAAATTCCATTTCAAGTTCAGGTGCTCCAGGTGTTCCAGGTGTTCCAGGGCAAGAATGGACACAAGACATGGAAGATTCTCTTCCTGTAAAAGGTTTGTCTTGTTTGAAAATTTCCGAACTTATATTCTTTTTTTTTCTAATATTTTTCAAATTCCTCTTCTTTTTCTAAATATTTCAAAATATTTTAATGTTTTTTTAATGATTTTCCCTCTTTTATATCATTTTTCTAATATTTATTTATTTTGTTTTTTCATAGAATACCCAGACAACACTCCCATTAAAGATTTTGTTCGAGAAACTGCTCTTGCAACAAATCGTGACCCAGAAAAGGCAGAGGAATGGTCTAAAAAACTTTTAAGTCAGGATTTTGTGACTGTTGGTGATTTAAGAGCGCTGATTGATGAAGATTGGCAAGGAATAGGATTGACTGTCTTTGCCTTTCGTGCTCTAAAGAATGCCTTAGATGGTAAGACATTGCGCAGTCAAAGTATTAATCCACGAAATGTGAATGCAGCGAGTGCGAGTGCAAGTGCAAGTACTAGTGGTGGCGAGGAAGGATTACAGGATTGATACAGTTTGCCTTCATATTGCAGGCAGATAGTGTACGATTTTGTTTCATTGATGTTTTTTCAAGCTACCACTTTCATTACTTTTTTAACTGACCCCGAATTTTTTTTTTTTTTTTTTTTTTAATATATTATTTTTATTTCCTTTATTAGCATCAAAATCTAAAGGCTAAAATAAATTTTTTATTAAAAAAAAAAAAAAAAAAATCAAAACTTACGCATTTTTTCTTTATCATCAAAAATTACATCATTTTCAACTTCACGTCCTATATATTGACGCCTATTTTGATGCAGCGCCCGTTAAACCACCTCATATATATCACTTCCGAAATCAATTCAATATCGGCTTCTACTCATCTCGATAGATCTGTTAATTTTACAAACATTAATCTCGAACGATAATGCCGAATTGTAAGAATAGTATTATATTTTAGTCGCTCTTTGCATTCAAGATTTTTTCGTGCGTTCTCAAATAGAACGTATGTGAATTGAATAACATATTTATTATCATTTGGAGACGTTGGACGTTCTTGTGTCTTCAGAAAAAAAAAGGTATCCATTTCTATTTGTTGTAGTGTAGTATATATATTTTATTATTATAGGTGTTGAATGCCTTTGAATTAATTCACTAAAACAAAACAGAAAGATATTTTATGTAAAAAGAGTTTTCTTTGTATTTAAATATTAGGTTTATCAAAAAAAAAAAAAGGGCAAGATTATTTTAACAAAATTATTTTTTGTTTTTATAACCTTTCATTAATTATATATTTAGACTATAGTTTAGTTGCGATCTTTTGTATTTTTTTTTATTTCCTTTTGGATATGAATATATTATTTTCTGTACATTATTCTTAGAAATTACAAAAAAAAAAAATTACTTTTGATTTTTAATACTTTACATGTTAAAAAAAGACTTATCAGAGATAATTGGAAATTATATATAATGATATTTATTATTATTATTATTATTATTATCATTATTATTATTATTATTATTATTTAATTGTGAATTTAACTTGAAGGAAATTGCGCCAAATTCGTAAATTCATATCATTTATTATCTTCATTAAATATTCAAAAGATGATAAAATAATAAAATAATTATCTTTGATGCAACGATTAATTAAACAATAAATCGTACCTAGATAAAGTAAATAAATTGGATTTGTGGGGTCGTTATCAACCAATAATAAAAGTGTTCTTAAAAATTGGGAACGTTTATTTTCTTTATGGGACAAAATAAACGAATCCAATAAACCTTACATCAAATTGAAATTAAAATCACATGTTTATTGTAATTTTATCACAATTATATCACAATACTGAAAACAGTTAAATGAAGTATCACAGATAATAAATTTTATTAACTGTTTTTTTAAATAGAATGGAGTAATTTAAGTAATACATGTAAATTCTAAATAAAATATTGGCAAAACTCTGATGAACCTATCATTACTATGTAAAGTCTAAATTAGGTAATAACAAGTCCTGAAAGGGAATAAACACTCAGCCTAAGCTGACTCCTTTTTATTAAAGTATTAGAAGGAAAATATTATTTTGTATTGGAAGAAACACCTTTAATCATTTTTGTGAATATAACCACAAGCTTTGCTTGTGCATTCTTCTTTGCTAACTTTATTGATATGATTTTATTAATAAATAAATAAAAAAAACGAACAGCAGACAAAAGATTATGATAATCTATGTGGGATCATATCTACAGAATTTTTATTTCAATACTCGGATACTAATACCCGATACAAATACAAAATTAGGTATGGATTGGCATTTTATCACATCACGTCCGAGGGAATTTTTTGGTACTTAAAAAAAAAAAAAAATAGGGATATAAAACAAATAATGGGCATAATTGTAACAACCTGAAAAAACAAGAAACGTCGCGTGCAAGAAATAATTAGAAAATAGATAGATGCGAATAGACTAATTCCATTTCATATATTTTTTTTTTCACATAAGTAACCTTATTTATTTTTACATATATATTTTATATATTTTTTATTTGTATCAATAAAGCAAATAGATATGTCCATATATATATATTTAAAATTAAGAATTTTTTACATTTATTTGTCTAGTAGTAATTACTTTTTATATAATTGTATAATTTTTTCTCTGGGATTTTAAATAATACTGATGCAAAAAAAAATGATAAGTTACAGAATACACGAATATATTTAAACATTTATCTGCATTAAATTATTTGATTATAGTTCGAAATTTTTGGATGCTTGATTAACGAAACTTAATTTTTTTGTATCCTTTCACTATCTCGATATATACATTTTTTTTTTGCTGATCACGATTAACAATGCCTTTATTATAAAACCAATGTTGGCTTCCTTTCAATTTGATATTTTTGGAAGAAAGCATCCAAAATTCTAATCCATTCAAGAAAAGAATTTCCTTAGTTATTTGAATGCAGAATTTGCGATTTTTCTTGGATTCTGATTTCTTTGTAATTTCGCATTCTTAGCCTCAAGCTCAAGAATTGTAATCTTAATACGCTCGAAAAGAATTGGATATTGCAAATCCGTTTTTTTTTTTGGTATATTCTTCTAAATACTTAGAAATCTCGGCCTTAAATTTACCATTCTCAGCTTCAAAGCTCAGAAATTTGTTGCTTAATGAATAATCTCAGATTGCATGTTCAATGATAACTTTATGCAAACTCATCTCTAAATATTTCAAGATCCATGGAGCAAAGTGGACATGTGGGACTCTCAATATGTATTTCCCATGATAAATTAGGTGAAATATGTGATATTGTGAATGCTTGGGCGGGTAAGTTAGAATTTCTCTTTCGCAAATACTGCATGGTTTTAACTTTGATATACTTTTTGCGTCAGGAACTTCGGTAATATTTTCATTTCTTAGATAATTTAACACTAGAAATTTGAGTTAAGAAACGTTAGTGTTATCGGTATTCCCCTCTATCAAACTTGGCAAAGGTTTTGCTGGCCATTGTACAATATTGTTGTTATTCGAAACCCGGAGTGACACAATTTCTGATAAATCAGATACCAAAGAATCTGATGATTATGGAGAATATGGAATATGGAATATGTAAAGAATGCGGAAATAAATACAGACGATAATTGGTGCTTGCAATGTAATTCTCAACATTTCCAACAAAAATTTTTGAAATTGGACAAGTGGGAAACAAACATCTTGACGCAATTATTCATCAATCTAGAGACATAAAATATATTGATAAAGGAAGCTTTAAAAAAACATATTTGGCTATTTGGAAGGAGGGAATATATAAAAAAAGTAGAACATTCGGCAAAAACAATGGGAAAAAAGTGGTGAATTGTGAGTCGCAATAAAATCTTTAAACAATTTACAAAATATGACATTTTTAAATGAGGTAATTTTTTCTTATTTTATATTCAGTTAATATATATTCTTTTATAAACTTATAACTTTTGAACCAAGTAAATATATAAAATTAACTTTAAAATCAAATTTTTCTAAATTATCATGATTTAGATAAATTACCGTAAATTTGCAAAAAACTTGAATTATACCCCGGATACAATATGCCCCACCAAAATGCTAACCTGTAAAATATACTCAGGTACATTTCATAGGGTGTTATTTTGCCCTAGGGGTACTTTGGTAGGCAAATTACGGTAATTCATGTGGATTAAAATTATATACATGACCAAGATTTTCATATCGGAAATATTCTCTCACATTGTGCTGTATTACTGATTTAGGTTTATCTAAACCATGAAATCAGAATTTCCAAATATAGTAAACAAAAGGTTTTTGGCGTAAGTTCCTGAAATATTATCTGGTGATGATAATTACTCAAAGGCTAACATAAGACATATATGGTTTTGAAATGAAATATTAACAGGATTTCCCCTCCCCTTTCTACAATATTCCCCATGATAAAGATCTTGTATTTAAAGATTTGCATGCCATAATTACTAATAGACATAATGAAAAGATGTTGGGATGCAATATCAGAACAAAGATCAACTGTTGAAGAATTGGAAACTGATTTGGGAATAATTGTAGAAATATAAGAGATGAGGTTAAAGAATTAGAACTCTATAAACAAATTTAAGAACGTAACAGATTAAACTTAACAAATCCAATGAATTTAATTTTCATCTTAATGAAAATGATAATAAAAATATCAAATGAATTAACCACTAGAGATTTTATAATTTAATTCAAATATCAATTTTATAATTATTAAATTTTAATTAATAATTAATTGATATTTAATTGTATTTTATTTTATAAGTTACCAAAGAATGTAATATAGAAATTCCATAAAGGGTATTAAATATAATTTTATTATAATATTAACACCCTTTCTTTATTTTACATTTTTATGTATAATGTTATTATATTCTTACAAATTTTTCGTGCCATAACCAGTATTTACGATTACACAAGCAGCACATGTATCACAAAAATAAAATTTTTAAACACTCGTCCGTAAAGATAGAATCGTGAAGTAGGAAGAAAAAGGGAATAATAAAGTATGAAAAACATGCCTGCTGAATCCTAAGCTTTTTACATAGTAAAAAATGCCAATTCCTTCCCCACATTAGCTATCATTGCTGTCATGAATTACATTTCTATTAACTTTTTATGAGATTTGATTTGATATTGTATTGATTATTAAAATCTGATTCATTCCTTGTGAGCGATATATAGATAATACATATAGTACATCGAGCATACACTCCCGAGAGTCATAACTCGTTTTACGTCTCTCTTGTTATAATTTTCTAGTAAAGATGTTTTATTAAGAAGCAAATTTTGTGTAACAGATTATCAGTTTTAACTTGTGCATCGGAAAAAATAAGCGTGTGAAGCTGTACATCAGTAACACTGATTAACATTAACATGCGATCGTAATTACCAATTTTCTATATATATAATTAATAATATTCATAACATAATCATATGAAAAAATATGGCTCCTTCTCTTCTTTCTCGACCTCTTGGTATGGTATTATTTGTTTTACATATAATAATTCAAAGAAATAAAAAAAAATTTAATTTAATGAACTAACTTAGTAAAAATTAATTAAATTTTTTTCTTTTATAACAAAATAGATCTGGTTTATTTTATATATTTCGTTACTCATATCCCTCCCACTATTCTTTTTGATCTTCACCTCATTTTACCGATTTTTGAATTTTTTGGAAATATTAACCAATATTACAAGGATAATTTTCGTGATCCATTATTCGTGAATACTCCATTATGGTTTTACGTCTGTATTTACTTTGAATTTTTTATTCAATTGCCATTTTTCGTGTACGCGATTATTGGATTATGGAAAGGTAAAAATTTTTAAATTATATTTTTTTATTCAATAATTTTCACCATTACAGATTATATATAAATATATTTATTTATTTATTTATTTATTTATTTATTTATTTATTTATTTTTTATTTATTTAAAAACTTATCACGCACACATTTTTTCAAATACATTTTTCAGATAGCGCGAATATCCGTCTCCCGTTATTAGCTTATTCAGTTCATGTGGTTACTGTAACTACAATTTGTTTGAGTGTAATTTATTTTGGAGATCATGAAGGATTACAGGAAGACCAAAGAAATTTTTTAGTAGCCGCATATTCTCCTTATTTCTTCATTCCTCTCATTTGTTTAATTGATTCATTTTTAAAAATCCAACAATTAATCACAGCAGCAGTTAATGTATCTTCTTCGGTGACTTTAGAAAAAAAGCATGAATAAAATAGTAAAATAAGAAAAGAATTGTTACAAATATATATATATATATATATTGTAATTTCCCTTTATTTTTATTATTATTATTATTCATTATTATCCATTATTATTAATATAATTATCATCATATTATTATCATTATTAAATATCAATTAATAAATAAAAGTATTAAAAATAATAAGAAATAAATCAAATAATTAAGTAAGAACTTGTTTTCTATATTCCCAATATTTTTGACGTATGTTATCACGTTTTTCTGCTAAAAGTTCACAAGTCTAAAATATGTAATAATAATAAATTTTATGTTAGTAAATATATATATATATATATATATAATGATGAATATAAAAAAAAAAAAAATTACCTTAATTCCTAAATTTTTATCTTCAATCGATCCACGTTTTGCGCGACTTTCATAAATATCAACTAAACAACCCAATGCATGATAGGAAATTATATTTTGTTTTTCAAGTTCTTTGCATAATCCTTCTAAAACACTAATATCTTGTTCTTTGGATTTGGCGATGATTCTATAAAAATTATTAAAAAAGAAGTTAGAACATTTTGATATATCTTTAATAGTAGTAAAGAAAAAATAATAATCTAAATTTTTCTCTCCTTACCCTTTGACATAGTTCCATGGACTAATATTATTAGGAGCTAATAAAATTTTATTTATGCCGTATCTATATGTATGCATTTGTAAAATGTGGAATTAAATTTTCATTTGTTAATGTAACTTTAAGGGAAGGTTAATGATAAAATTAATATTTCACTTACTGAACTTCTTGCGCAAGTAATTCTTCAGTGGGTTCATTAGGATTAAAAAAGATAACAAAATATCTTTGATTCCAAGCAGAATTGTTTCGAACATCATCATCTAATAATTTATCAATGAAGGCCAATTCCTTATCCCAAAGATTATAAGTTTTAATAATCCACTGCCTAAAATAAAATACAATATATTTAATATAAATATAATATATATAAAATAAAATAAAATAAAATAAAAATAATGATAATAATGAATTTAAACCTATATGTCCAAGCATGATAATTTTTGGAATCTAAACTTAATATTTCTTCGATGAAAGGTAATTCTTTCGAGCTATCGTTAAGTTTCTCGACAACAACTTGTCGGTGATGCCTTTTTTAAAACTAAAACTTTTTAACTTATTTATTTTATTGGATGATTATTTATTATTACAATTATTATTATTGTTATTATTATTATTATTATTATTATTATTATTACCAGAGTTGATAATTCTTTGGGTTATTTATAACCTGATCTGTGATAAAATCCAATTCATTGTATAAATCTTTTTCTAAGGAAAATAATATCTGTTGGCGATAATGCCTTTTTACGTTGACATTATTATTTGTGTAGTAAAGATTGTTTAAGATTTAAAGATTTAATTAAATTAAATTAAATTAAATTTTAAATTTAAATTTTGACTTAAATTTGACTTAAATTTGACTTAAATTTGACCCATTGCATACCAAATAGTATAATGAGCCGGGTTATGTTTAATGATTTTTTCAGTTAAGCTTAAAGCTCTTTCACTACGTTCATCTTTTAGAGCAACCGCACGAAAATAACTCATAGCTTCAGAGTCTATTCGAGTAAATAATAATATAATAAAAAGAATATATATATATATATTTGTAAATATTTTATTATTTTTTTAAAAATAAAATTAAAAAATTATTATTATTACGATGTACAACATTCTTTATCATAAGATATTGGAGTGAGCGGTTCTGGACCATCGTCTTGCGGAATTGGAACGAGATCATCCCAGTTCGCCTCTAAATAATAAGATGCCATATAAAAAAAGAAAGAGAGAATTCTACTAAAAAATCATAAAATTATATAAAATTATATGTAGGTTATGGTCGTACAGTGTATTGTTGTATTGTTAACAACTGTACCACAAAGAACAATACAACCTAAAAAACTTAGTATTGTTTATTAAATTTTATCTATCAAAAAGTCACATGCCATTAACCCAACAATATAAAAATAAAGAGAAAACTTAATCTGACCCAGGGTTTAGATTGTTTATCCTAGACCCTAGGGGTTTAGGTTATTAGATCTGGACCTCTTTCCTAATTCAGAAATACTAAAATTAGAATTTTTAGTTTCCATATTACATTCGTAACACGGTATACAAAATTTTATTTGATAAATAATATAATATATTTGCATATTTTGTTTTTTGTTTTCTTTTGCTTAGTAATTTGTTTGTAGTACTATTATCTTAAAACAATAACAACTTCAGACTATCAACCTCAAATAGATGATATATTTGAAAGTCATGACAACTTTGTAAATAAAATTAAAAATTATATATATAAATTAAGATTTACTATTAGACTTGAAAAAGTTAAATATTTAAAAAAAGAAAAAACTATTTGAAAAAGGACTCTATTATTTTTAAGATCTAGTTATTCTGAATCAAAAAAAGAACAAGACTCTGAAGAAGAAAACTTAAGTAACAAAGGAAAAGGACAAAATAAAGTATCTCAATATTGTGGTTGTCCATTTTTTATTCGTGCTTCTTTAAATGATAGTAATGGGCAATAGTATATTATTAATATGAATCGTACTTATAATTATCAAATGATTAATGAAAATCATCAACAATTTATGTCTAACAAATGAAGTATTCCAGAAGAGATTAAACAACGAATAAAATTATTACGTCATGTTGGTGTAAATGTTTTAACAATTTGTACAATTTTAAATCAAGAATTTGATACTTATGTTATATGGATGTATAATGATATTTATAATTTTATTTATCAATTGGAAAATTGTAAAACAAAAAAAAAGAATTTGAAGCTGAAAATTTTATCAATACTTTAAAACAATTTAAAAATGAAAATGAGAAATTTCTTTATCATATAGATATTAATATTAGTACAAAAAGATTGGAGTGGGTAATTTGAATATTTTCTGAATAGTTAATAAATTACAGTAGATTTAATGATGTAATAGTTTTTGATAATACATATAAAACCAACTATTTTCATATACCATTTGAAATTTTTATAGGTGTTAATAATTATAGATATAGTATTTGTTTTGTAGATACATTAATGATTGATGAAACAAAAGAAAATTTTTTATGAATATTTACTAAATTTTTAGAAATGGTCAATCAACATGTACCTAAAGTTATTCTTACTGATGATAATCATGCTATGACAAATGCATACATAAAGGTTTTACAACCTTTAAGTATAAAATATCATTTATATCAATAGTATTTAATAAAAAACATTATAAAAAATTTAAGTTCAAAACTTAATACAAACTGGTCAAATTTTATTAAAGATCTTTACAAATGTCTTGGTGAAATAGATAGTTCTGATTTTTTTATATAATGGGAAGTATTAAAAATATCATATCTGCCTGTATCAAATTATCTAATAAAAATGAAAAAAACAAAGGAAAAATGAATTACATGTTATAATCGTGATACTTTTATGACAGATATGACAACAACACAACATGGAGAATCTATGAATAATATGATGAAAGGTTATCTAGATGCAAGTACATCACTTGTGACATTCATTAATACATTTCAATTAGCATTAGATGTACAAAATAAAAAAACAGAATTTCGTATTTATCAACAAGATAATTTTAATATTTTATACAAAATTACAAGTCCATTTGAATATCAATGTGCATCAATTTTAACTACATTTACTTTAAAAAAAATCCAAGAACAATTATTACAATCATTTATATATACTTGTAAAGAAATTTCAAGGTAATATATTTAATATATATTTATTTATTTATTTTTAATTAAAATTATTATTTATTAATTTTTAAATATATACAGAAAAACAAATAATATGGAATTAATTTTTCAAGTGCAAAAAATTGAAAAAGAAACAAATGGAAAAATCATAAAATATGATTTGAATCTTAATTATTTCACATGTTCTTATGAATATATTCCATTTTCAGATTTTATTTGTCGACATATTTTTTGTACCATTATGCAACTAAATTTACAAGAACTTCCTATTGGTTTATTTTATGAAAGATGGAAAAAAGACCCAACCAAAAAGATAATTATTAAAAATTATATAAGTTTTATAACTTCTAATTTGACCTCTTCTAATTTTATTTCTATTATTTCTACTTCATAACAATTGTCTAATTATAACAATGATCAAGATTATCAATATATGTTAACACAATTATTACAAAAAATTAAAAGATTTATTGTACAAAATTCAACGTTAGCCAAAATCTTTTATATTTCTTTTAATGAAATATTTATTTTTGAGATTGAAAAGATGAGTCAACCAAAATCTATCAATTCAATAGAAGAATTAATAATAAAAAATCCATTAATAGTTTGTGAAAAAGGATGACCATTTAATAAAAGAAATAAAAGCACAACAGAATTAATCAATAAAAAAAAGAAAAAAATCAATGAAAATACAATAGATATTCATGAAAATTCTAATAATTATAATAATTCTAAACATTTAAATATTCAATTACAATTTCACAAAATTCAAAATTCTAATATTGATACATGAAAACCATTACACAAAATTCAGTTGGAATTAGAAAATTCTGATGTACAAAAACCATTACATAAAATTCATATAAAATTCGAAAACCAATATTCTGATCTTTCTTTTCAATATAATTTTTTATCTGAAGATTTGAATTTTGGTATGTTATGAAATTCATTAAAATATTTTTATTTATCTAATTAAATAAATTTATAAATTTAGGAGAGAATCAAAATAATGAGAAATGTCCATATTGTGATGAAATTTTTTCAAATCCACTACCTTTAAAGGTTTTAAAATACTTACATGATATTAAAACAGGAGAAGGTGAGTTTATATTTTTATTTTATTTTTAGAATTATACTTTTCTTTAAAAGAAAAAATTAATTATTTTTAAATTTAACAGTTTCAGTTAATACTACAGTTGAACAAGTTGAGTTTTGTAGAATTTACTATAAAGGAGAAATTATTTCTTATAGAATAAAAAAGAGATATCCCTTGAATATTGATTTTATTAATTTGCCTAATAGAATTTTAAATATGAAATCTGAAATATTAAAAATTATAAGGGGTCAAAAATATAGTTAATATTGTGTAAATGTAATAAAAAAAATTCAAGAAATAGATACAATGAAATATAACAATTCATTAATACAAATGTCTTATTTTGAATCTTTTCAAGTAAGTTTAATTTTTCTTATATAAAATTTATATTTAAACATTATAATATAATATTAATAACCTTGATATTTTTTAGCCTGGATATTATAGTTCTAAAGGCTTAGCAGTTATCATAAAAATATTAAATGAAATGTTTCTTTAAACTGGTATATTAACTACAAACCTTTGTAGATCACAATTAACATCTTAATATATAGCTCAAGTACTTATTTCAGAAATAGCTATCAAACTCATTGCAGAAGATAAAAATATTTCATTAAATACTACAAAAGAAATAATGGTTGATAGTGTAAATTTTGAATTATATATACATGATGATGATGAAATTAATTGTTAAAATTAGAATATCATATTAATTGTTTAAAATATTAGGATTTTTATGTAAGAATATTTTTTTTTAGAATTAATAAATAATAAAATTAATAATATAATTACTTTTATATTAAAATTATAAAATACAATTATTTTGGCTATTAATAATTATAATAATTGAAAGGAAAAATGCTTAGAAAAATTATACTTCATTTGTTTTATTAGTTTAGATAATTTTCAGATATTTCAAGTACTAACTATTATTTTTTGGCTACTTTTAAGACTATTTTTATAGTGTTTCAAGTGGTACAGTACTATTTTATAAATATATATAATTTAATTAAATTTTATATAATTGAAAAATTAATAAATTTACATACATTATATTATTAATTACTATCTTAATATTTATTATTTTATTTAATTAATAAAAAAATTACATATTTGTAATTACAAGAATTAATTCATCTAAAAATTAAATACTCAATTTAATCAATTATAAAAATTCACTTTTTTTGTAATAACATTAATTATATATCTAAATTAGTTTAAAATAAATAAAACAATATTGAAATTAATATCTTTCACTTTCTTCTTTTTTATTTTCTCGTTATTCTCTACTATTTCTTTGTCCCTTTATATTCAAATATCCTCTTCTTTTTTGATCACTTTTTTCTTCATTTAAACATCTTTCTTTTTCTTCCTTTCCTTTTTCCTATTCTTCCCTTATCCTCTTTTCTCTCAAAACTTTCTTTACTTATTTATTTTTATCTCTTCTCTTCCATTAAACTTCATCTTTTGTAATAGCAATTTTGATGATTTCAGCATTGACGATTTTGTTTTAACAATTTCAGTGGATTCTCTTTTTCTCACTTCTCTCTCCTTTTCTATTTCTTTCACCTCATCTATCTCCTCCCTTACACTTGTTTTTTCTATAAACCTCTGCCAGTTGTAATAACGGTTTTTGATGATTTTAGCATCGACAATTTTGACATTGACAATTTTAGCGATTACAACATCAGTAATTATATTTATTCGAAAACCTTCGAAATTATATTGCAATGTTAGATTTCAAAGGTTATCGATTGTGCCGTAAATCTTCGAAATCAAAATTTAACGGTTAAATTTCGATACGTATTATTTCGTTATCAAAAACCTTCAAAGTTCAATACTAAATTTTTTAATAATAACGTAAACTTTCAAAATTCAACAGCTAGTATTTTAACGTATTTTGTTTCAGGTTTATCATTTTCAGATTATTTCAAATTT